CCAGGCCGCGCGGAGGCCGGGACCTGCCCGCGGGGCTCCCTGCGCGGAGGCGGCGAGACGACCTGATGCCCCCCGGCCTTTCCCCCGAGCACCGCGGCTGGTCGCCTCCCCCTCACCGCGCCGGGCAGCAGCAGGTCCAAAGTCACTCTTACTTTGGCCCGTTTCTTGGATGTTAGAGTCTCCTGGCTGGGCCTTGGGGTGTTAAACTAACAACAAAATGCTGTGTCATCCTCGTGCTGGCTCAGCAATTCGGACGGCGAGTGAACGTTCACAACACTTCTGGGGCGGGTCCGCCGCGTTCGCGTTCTTTAAGTACGAGGAGAAATTCCCCGGGAACCACCGATGCGGCGTGGCTGTTGCAGGGCTTTGTCCCCGCCCGGCCCCTCTGGGCGACCTGCTCCTCTTCGTTTTCTCATTTCCTACTTACCAGCGCCTCTAGGTGAAAGCCAGGTGGATGACAGCGCCCCCTTCTGGGAGGCTCTCGCCCACCCAGCCTGCTCCTCCGGGTACCTGAGCGTGGGGGTCTTCTAAACCCGTTCTCACACTGTCCCCAAACACCCTTTCATCCCCTCCATTGAGGTGTCTCAGAACCGCTTCAAACCCGCGCCCCACGCTGGACCCACCGTCTTCCTACTGCCGCGTTCCCACCTCAGGGAGCGGTGCCACTGTTACCGCCCAGGGTTCTCAGACCCCTTGATTCACAGACATTGGCAGGAGGCTAGATGGGAAGTTCAGGCCAGGCTTTCCTGGGACTCGGGCTGCAGCCCGAGGGAGCGAGAACAAGAAACGGGTGCCAGTAGTTCCTTAAATGGGGTGAGGGTGGGGTGGGCCGGCTGGAGGGCTGGCTGGGGTGGTCTGCCCGCCCCCTTGGTGGTGCCGAGAGCAGGGGTCGTGTGCAGGACCCTGCTGCTGCTCCTGACACTTCCGAGGTGGCACGTGGGGTTTTGGTCTTTTTGTTTTGAATCTTGTTCATAATTTGCCCCAACGGTGCCAGTCCTTTGCAGTTCTTTGTATCCTGTTGCTGGAGGAGGTACGGGTCCAGGTGCGAGACCTGCGGACAGGGTGGTGGGCCCCACCCGACTTCCCACCACCCTTTCTTTCCTGCAGAGTGCAGATGTGGTGGTCACCCGTGGCCACGGTCACCCCTCACCCCGCGAATGCTCAGGCCGCACTTTCTGCTGCTTTCACTCCTGTGCTGTGTCTCTTCTCATCCACCTCTTTCTGCTGCCACCACTGTAGGCAGAGAAACCATCTTGCACCATTGGGACCCCTGCAGCGGCTGCCTCCAAGCCTCTCCAGGCCAGTCTCTCTGCTAAAGTCAGTGAGCCAATGAGATGAACACCAGACTGAGTTACCGCCACCTGAGATCCATGAGGGCTTCTCTCTGTTCTTACAGACACGACCACCACACTCGATCAGGCCGTAACGAACGATCGTGGTCTGACTGCCCTACACATTCTGACTCCACTGCGAAGAGGACTCGAGCCTCAGGCCGGAGCGCCGGGAGGCTGTCTTCATTCTGCCTGGGGAGAACTGAGCAGAAGACCCAGCCAGCCAAGCCCAGGCTCCCGACCCCCCGGAAATTGTGAGCTGATAAACGTTTGTTTTTAGCTGCTAAACTTGTGGTGACTTGTCACACGGCAGCAGACATCTTGCACACCCATGCCGGGCTGTCTCCAGAGTACTGACTCCCGTCTTTGCCAGTCGGGGGGAGCAGTGCAGGGGAGGGACTCTGGGGAGTGGGGAGGCCCGGCCAGCTGCTTGTGCAGGTTTCACCCACTCAAGACACGTAGGCAGAGATGGTAACTGAGCCGTCAGGGAGCATCAGGCACTGCTCTGGGCTCGAGGGATGCAGCAGTGCGTGGCCCAGACTCCAGCCCTCCCAGAACCTGCACAGTCGCCAAGGGGGACAATGATGATTGTAAACAGTCACACAGCACACAACTCCGGGCAGAAGGCCGCAGTGCCGGGTCCGGGGGTGAGGAGGGGACCAGCAGGACTGTGCATGCTGGACGATGGGGTGCCATTTCAGGCGGGAGGTAAGGGTGGGGCCTGTGGTGGGGTGGTGCTTGGGTAAACACCTGAAGGAGGTGAGGGAGTTGTTACCTGTGGTCCTGGGGAGAAAGAGCGTCCCAAGCAGAGAAACTTGTGTGTGTTTAGTGGGTCAGTAAGGACACCTGTAGGTTGGAGTGAAGTGAGAAGGCTGAGGAGAGATGCTTGTGTGTGTGTGGTGGTGTGTGTGGTAGGGGGTGGTATGTGTGGTTGGTGTGTGTGTGTGTGTGTGTAGGGAAGAAGATCATGCAGCATTTCTGAGCTCGTTTTAAGGATGTGGGCTCTTGCTGTGTGAGTGACATAAGGGAAGATTTCACAGTTCTAAGCAGAGGACTGATGTGACCTGACTTACATTTTATGAAGCTCAGTGTCATCTCCCTCTTGAGGGCAGACTCCAGAGGGCAGAGAGGAGAAGATGGTTTGGAAGGCCACACGGTGATGCAGGGATGAGATGGCGGTGGCTTACCTGGCTTTGGACCGAGGAAGGCGGGGCTGGCTTCTGGAACCCCAGTAGTCCTGCTGGTGTCCAAGGACAACTTGCGTCACTCTTTCCTGAGACTCCTTGGGAATCCACAGTGGAAGGTGGGTTAGTTTTACTCTTTCCTCGTTGCTGCCTGGAACTTGGTTTTTTCAGAAAATCTTGTTTACTTGCTTGTCTCAAGTCTGCTTCCAGCTCACATGGCTTTTCCAGGCCTAGTGATGCTTCTATAAAGGATCATCTGAACCAAGGCCTCATTGACGTGACGTTGGGTGCTGTTGCCAAGTGTGCTGGGACTCAGGCGCCAACCTGTACAGTTGTGGGCAAACTGGGACAGACGGCACAACTGCTGTCTCCACTTCTGGGCCCCTGTCGTCTGTGTTTATAGCTTGTAAAAAAGTCCCTCTAGAGTTGTTTTAGTGGTATTTAAGGCAGAAGCAGAAAGAAATTGCAAAAAAAACGCATGTATTTGGCTTGTTTACTTAGCTAAGAGGTTTTTGTTGTTGGCTTTGTTCAGAGGATGATTACATACTACGTTTTACCAAATGAATTTTCCTCGTCTATTGAGATGTTAATACAATTTTCCAAATTTTAAGCATTTTGATTATTTCATCTAATTGACTTTAAAAATTGAAATGTGGTTGGCGTACAGTATTATGTTAGTTCAGGTGTGCGACATGTAATTTGACATTTGCATTTGTTACGAAGCGTCCAAGCTGGTAAGCCTAGTGAGCATGTGTCTCCGTACAAGGTGCTGGTGCTAGGGACCATATTCTCTGTGCTGTACAACCCATCCTCCGTGACTCAATTACTTCATTATAACTTGGGGTTGGTACCTCTTTATTTCCTTAACCTAGTTTCTTCCCCACCCCTTCTCCTCTGGAAACCTCCGGTTTGTTTTCTGCGTCTACAAATCTGTTTTCATTTTGTTTTGCTTGTCTGTTGGCTTGTTTTTTAGATTCCATATGTAAGAGATCATACGTGGTCTGCCTTTCTCTGTCTTGTTTCACTCAGCATAGTACTCTCTAGATCCACCCATGTGGATGTAAATGGCAAGATTGCATTTATTTTGTCTGAGTAATATTCCACTGTGTATACATAGCTGACGGGCACTCAGGCTGCTTCTGTATCTTGGCTGTGGTAAGTAATGCTGCCATGAGCATTGGGGTGCATGTATCTTCTTGAATTAGTGGGGATTTTCCTCCAGGTAGATACCCAGAAGTGGAATTGATGGATTATGTCATAGTTACATGTTTAGCTTTTGGAGAATCTCCATACAGTTCTCCACAGTGGCTGCACCAGTGTACATTCCCACCGGCAGTGCACAGGGCTTCATTGTTGCCACATTTCCCTGCTGCCACATTTTGCTTGGTGTCTTTTTGATGACAGCCATCCTGACAGCTGTGAGCTGCCATCTCACTGGTTTTGATTTGCATTTGCTAATGCTGAGTGATGTGGAGCATCTCCTCATGCACCTGCTGGACATCGGTGTGTCTTCTTTGAACAAATGTCTATGCAGATCCTCTGCCCATTCTTTAATTAAGTTGTTCTTGATGTTGACTTGTATGAGTTCTTCATGCGTTTTGGATGTTAACCACTTACTGGAGATGTTGTTTGCAAATACCTTCTCCCATCCAGTAGGCTGCCTTTTCATTTTCTTCGTAGTTTCCTTCACTGTGCAAAAGATGTGTAATTTGCTGTAGTCCCAGTTCATTTTTGCTTTGTTTCCCTTGCCTGAGGAGACAGATCCAAAAAACACTATTGCTAAGGCTGATGTTGAAGAGTACTGCCTGTGTTTTCTTCTAGAAGTTTTATGCTTTCAGATCTTACATTTAAGTCTTTAATCCAGTTTGAGTTTACTTTTGTGCATGGTGTGAGAAAGTAGTCTAGTTTGGTTCTTTTCCATGGAGCTGTCCAGTCTTCCTAACACCATTTATTGAAGAGCCTGTCTTTTCCTCACTGTATATTCTTGCCTCTTTTGTCATAGGCTGATTGACCATGTAAGTGTGGGTTCATTTCTGGACTCTCCTGTTTCCCTTTGTTGACCCATGTGTCTGTTTTTGTGCCAGTACCATACTGTTTTGATTATGGTAGCTTTGCAGTATAGTCTGAAATCCAGGCACGCAACGTTTCTGGTTTTTTTGTTCTTTCTGAAGGTGGTTCTGTGTATTTTGCACTTACACACAAATTTTAGAATTATTTCTTCTAGTTCTGTGAAAAATGCCATTGGTATTTTGGTAGGGATTGTATTGAATTCATATATTGTTTCCAGTGATGTGGTAATTTTACTAATGTTAATTCTTCCAGGCCATGAACCTGGTATGGCTTTCCATTTGTTTGTGTCTTCAGTTTCTCTCATCAGTGTCTTACAGTTTTCAGAGTACAAGTCTGTTACCTCTTCGGTTAGATTTATTCCTAGGTATTTTATTTCTTTTGATGCAACTGTAATGGAATTGTTTTCTTAATTTCTCTTTGATAGTTTGTTATCAGTGTATAGAAAAGTAACAGATTTTTGTATGTTAACTTTACTAAATTTATAGTTCTAATAATTTTCGGTGGCATTTTTAGGATTTTCTGTATATAGTATGACATCTGCAAATAGTGACAATTTTACTTCTTTCTCTCCAATTTGGATTCCTCTTACTTCATTTTCTTGTCTGATTGCTGTGACTTCCAGGAGTGTTTTAAATAAAAGTGGTTAGAGTGGGCGTCTTTGTCTTATTCCTGATCTTAAAGAAAATGCTTTCAGTTTTTCACCATTGATATGATGTTAGCTGTGGGTTTGTCACATACAACCTTTATTATGTTGAGGTATGTTACCTCTGTACCCACTTTGTTGAGAGTTTTATTTCATAAATAGATGTTGAATTTTGTCAAAAGCTTTTTCTGTATCTGTTGAGATGATCCCATGACATTTATTCTTCAATTTGTTAATGTCATCGCCTCACATTGATTTGCAGACAATGAACGATCCTTGAATACCTGGGACAAATACCATCCGATCATAAAGTAGGATCCTTTTAACATATTGTTAAGTTTGGTTTGTTTAGGGTTTTTGCGTTTAAGTTCACCAGTTAAGTTAGGCTGTAACTTTTTTTTGTAGTGTCTACCTGATTTTGGTGACAGGGTAATGCTGGCCTCACAGAATGAATTCAGAAGTGTTTCTTCCTATTCAATTTCTTGGGCTAGACTGAGAAGGATAGACATTTAATCATCATTAAATTATTTGTGGAATTCCTCTGTAAAGCTGTCTGGGCTTGTACTTCTGTTTAATGAAGTTTTTAGAAAATTATCATTATTACTGACTCAATTTTATTAGTGTAATCAGTCTGTTCACATCTTCTTCCTGACCTGGGCTTAGGAGATAGTTCATTTCTAAGAATTTGTCCATTTTTTTCTAGGTTTCCAATTCATTGATGTTTAATTTTTAGTAATCTCTTATGATTCTTTGTATTTCTTTCACTTCTAATTTTATTCATTTGGGTCCTCTCTCTCTTCTGTGTGATGAGTCTCACAAAAGGTTTTCAATTTTGTTTATTTTTTCAAAGAGTCAGCTCTTAGTTTCATTGATTCTTTTCTAGTTTTTAGTCTATAATTATTTTCTCTGATTTTTATGATTTCTCTCCTTCTACTAACTTTGGATTTTGTTTGTTCTTTTTTAATTTCATTAGATGCAAAGTTAGGTTGTTTATTTGAGATTTTAATTTCCCAAAGTTGGCTTGTATTGCTATTAACTTCCCTCTCAAAATTGTTTTTGTTGTGTCCCACAGATTTTGGAGTTTTGTGTTTGTTTTCATTTGTCTCCAGGCATTTTCCAGTTTCCTCTTTGATTTCTTCAGTGACCTACTTGTTGTTTAGTGCCACGTTCTCTAGCGTCCACGTGTTTATGTTTTTGCTGTGTTTTTTTTTTTTCCTTACAGTTGATTTCTAGCCTCCTATCACTGGTCAGAAAAGACACAGTATCATTTCAGTCTTCTCAGATTTACTAAGACTTGTTTTGTGGCCTTGCATGAGCTATCCTTGGGAATGTTCCATGTGCACTTGGAAAACAATGT